AATGTCTCCATGTGTTGCTGGCAGCCCTGGAGCAGAGACTCCACATGATTCATTTCAAACCCATGGCCCAGAGGCCCAGTTCAGTCCCCACGGCCACAACCTGAGCACAGGTAGCAGTAAGTATGGAGGAGGCTTGCCCCAGACTCTGCAGCCACAACAAAGGAGGCCACCAACAATTCTTGAGGTTGCAGGCACAGGTCACATCTTCCAATGATTTTTATGCCAAGATACACAGATGAGAACCCATTCCCTCTTCAGGTCATCTTTGCTGAGGAGGACTCTCTCACAGCTGTTTGCCTCTTCATGCATCCATTCTTTCTGCTGCAAATGTTTCCCTCTTTCTTCTTTTTGAGATCTCTGGCACTTCTCAACCAGTACCAAATTTCTATTACACTCTTAAGGTTTCCCTGCAGCTTCCTCTACCCAGCTGACCCTGTTCTTTCCGGCTTCATAAATTCTCAGCTTACCTTGCTCCTCTAGTCCTATCCCCTATCTCACGTTTGGGTTTTGGTTTTGTTGGGTTTTTTTTTTTTTTCCCCCCAGTTTGAATTAGTGAAATTTTAGCATTCTGCAGCTTTATTCATGGCATTCCACTCACTCAAACTGAGTGAATAATGAGATGGAGGAGCTCCCCACTAAGCATACATGCTGCACATGTAAGAGCCTGCAAGTGGAACAGAACCCCGCTCCTGACTATTCTGCCTGCTGAGTAACGAAGATACTTTCTTCTCCTCAGGGGAATTGATTAGGAAAAGCCTTCCCACACACCTACTACAAAAGAGCCTGTAACAAGGTAACTCCTAGAAAAGGTGAAGTATTGTGTCATAACCACACATCTTGGAGGGTACACGTCTCTAAAGGAGGCTGCACATCCTAGTCTCCAAGTTCCTTCTCCTCTCTGAAAGTCCAGTGACTCTCCTGAGGTAGGGGGACCCTACCTTCTGCAAGGTAGCAAGGAAAAGCGGAGACAAAACCATCCTCATGAATGAGGCAAGACAAAACCATAACTCATGAATGCCCACGGGATTTGGACTCAAGAGATCCTGATGGCCTGTTACCTTCTGAAAACTCCTGAACCACATTCATTTCTCTGCAGGTTAGTTTTTCAATTCCCATCATATATTAATTCCTTCACTACCTAATCTTTGCTTCTTTTGCTGGTTTTCCCTCATCTGACAGTGATGAAAATCAGGCAAACATAACACACGTAAATGCTGTGCACACTATTTCTCCTCCTGTATTAAATGATCAGAGCACCAAAGAACACACATTTACTTAACACTCACCAGTATTTATTACAACTGTCCTTCCGTAGACTGAAAACTCACAATTATTTAGAAATCACTGTATATTAAAGTCACACTACTAACGTTTTAAGATTATACTTCTTCCCATTCAGATCAGTGAATTAAATTTTTCCACTTATACAGCAAATTCCACTTATATCGCAATAAAACTGTAGCGCATATATATATAAACATTTCTGAGTCTTACTCCATGAAAATTTCGTGAGCTACTAAAAATATAATCAGCATTTACCCAAATATTTTCTCTTGAACCAAATCACATGGTAACATGAAGCAACTGTTAAGTAGTAAAATATATTTAAATGCCTGAAATAAGCAAATGTTAGTTCTTCCTAGTAGCTTAAAACATTCAGATAGTTTAGGAGTGTATTGTACTGCGTAAATCATTATATTCTTTTAAAACCTGGGCAAGCTGAAAGGTCAAAAAGGCAAGTTGTCCACCATTCTTTACTTGTTTCCTATTATTAACCCCAAAATCATTGGTCATTTTTACAAAGTAACACGGCTAGATGAAATCTAAGGCCTAACTAGCATGGTTACAATGTTTAAAAACCAGCAGGTCTCAGATGCTTTCATAAATTCAGCACTGGCTGGTTAGAACAAATCGGAGTTGTGATTTAATTTTTTCATTAACATTTTTATTGAACTAGAAGCCACAGAATAAACACCTTGGTATACACTGTGCTAATATTTGGAACACATAAAAAAAATATAAGAAGGAAATGAGCAAAATATGTAAGTAATACTAAGAAATTTGGCTTTAAAAAGGTTACGCACACCTAAATTCTGAGTGCAAGGAAACCAATGTGGTGCAATTATGCTGGAAAAGCCGTTGCTGCTTATAAAACGTTGTGCAGCTGTTGGAGGAGAGGGTTACAGTGACAAACAGCTTCCCTGCTACAAAGGTGGCAGGAAATCTATCAAACTGGACAATAAAATTGCAATTGAGTTTCTTTGGCTTTTTATAGCAGCTGCATGTATCTTGATGTGTAGCTCTGCAAAACCTATCCAATTCCGTAACACTAGTCCTTTATATACTAGTTCTTTATCATAGAATGGTGTTATAAATTAGTGGCAAGAATGGCGCAAAGGGCTGTAAAAAGGAAAAATAAGCAGTAACCCAATACAATTAGAGATGAAATAATAAAAAACCCCGAATTGGTCATTCTCTTAGCAATGTTAAAGAAATATTTTTGTTCTCATAATTCCCACATTACTGTGAAAGCATGCTAGAAATCAGAAACAGCTGAGATGCCCTTAGCCTCGAACAACTTGCCCACCGAATTATGCCTACGCTATGTTATGGGTGAATCTCTATGAATCTCAATATTGGTATAACAGGATACAAGAATATTTAAAATAAGTAAAACTATGGGAATTAAAAATTCATTATCATTAGATATTAATATCAGTTTATAAGGACATTTTCAAGTGATTAGTAAGGTTTTACCACAGGTTTTTTTTGTGATTTATCCTAATTTATGCTTACGGAATTAAAAGATAGTTATGAAACATCATCTAGCTTTATACTGTTAGTTGCATAAATTGCATGGATTATTTGTAAGAAAGTTCAAATGGCAAATGCATAATAATGGTGAAAAAAACCCAAGTTTAAAATCCTTGATTATGGCTTCACCATTCATATCACTATTGTTAAGTTAGTTTGTGGGTGGTTTTGTTGTTTAATCATTTCCGTTTAGGCTCCTGGAACTGAATATTAGCACCGATGTCCAATCAAACTGAACTCCTTTACGATTCCTCCGAAAGGACAACATCACTCTGCTGGTGGCTCTGCCCAGACTCACACATGGCTAACCTTGCCATTGTTCAACTTCCTCTGACATCCGTTGGAACAACAGTCCATACATATTGACTGGAAAGCCAACAAAGTTAGACCTGGGAAATCTGATAAAGCAAGTTACTTCTCCATCCAAGGATACCTCCCTATGCCAGCATGACATGAACCAAAACAGAAAACCACAAAGAAGGAAGCACATCCTTGTCTCATTCACTAAGGTATTACACAAAAACATACAGCCTTTCAGAAAAAAGAAAAAAAACCAACCAACCCAAAAGCAACATCAGCTGTACCTCAATTTTTTTGGTAGTTTCTAAAACCAAGGTGGGGTTGGAAGGTGGGTGGATTCTTAACATTTGGCTATGGTATCACAATAAAATCTTGGGTTTTCATCTATGAACTCCAGACCATTGATTAGCCACATTAAGTCACTGCAGATAATGACCAGAAATCCATATAATCATTTTGACGTAGGAGCTGTTTGAATGAGATTTCCGACATTACATTATCTTACAAAAGAGTCTAAGAATAGAACTACAGCTTGTAAGATAACGTGCTAGATAATTTTTGAAATTCAATACACCAAAGCTCTGTATATCAGAGGTAGAAAGGTGGTCCTCCTTCACTCACCTCTCCATCTTTCCTCAAGGACAGTTCCCCAGTTTCATTTATGCTAGTTTCTAGAAAAGTACACTGGGGATCTTTGCACTGGCTACAGCTTGTCCCTGTACAACCTACTCCACCCACTCCCTCTGCATCTTGGGGGGGAAAGAGAGAAAACAGGTTTCTTGAAGACCACAGAGCCGACACAAAAGAAGATTAAGGATATTTCAACAATAAATGGGATCTCTGCAAGGGTTAAAATTTGGCCCTGGTTTCCTTGCACCTGGATTCCATTTAGCTAAGTGACTATTTAATTATGTTATTTCACACACTTATTATATAGATTTCTACATTTGTCTCCCCATAGCCCAATAATCCATCATTGAGCTATGAATGTGATAAAAAAACCAGCTGCACAATAACAGTATTCTTGCTGTCTGTCTGCAGAGACTGACTTTTTTTGAGGAAAAAAAAAATTGTACAAAATCAAGGACCTCAGAAATGCTAACAATTCCACAGAATCATAAAGTGATCTTTAGGATTCACAGATGTCCTTTTTGCACCGTTAAGTTGCACATAATTGAAATTTATAATTCATCATTTAATTCATCTTAGGTAAATATTTTTGATAAACCAGAATAAGTATGAGGCCCACACTGGCCTCATTCTTTTGTTCAGAAGAGGGCAAGGCAGTTATCTTTCATACTACTGCGCCTTGTTCAAAGATCCACTAATAACTTTCACGATATAATTCTGGTTGTAACAACAACAAAAAATCAGACAGAGGAATAATGAAGGGTAATAGCCTCATTCATACTGAAAGGATTTGCGTTCTCACCCTGTATTCCATGACAGCTTAACAGCTGAAGCATCTGTCTTAACTTTGATTTCTTTGCTTTTTACTGGTTTGTTTTACAGCCTTTTGATGTTACTAAAAGGTATTTTTGTTTATGAATAGATGCAGTGCGCCACCTTGTGTTTGTGCCATTATTAAAAACTAAACCCAGCACTAAAATTTTTCAGAAAGGCTCCTGAAATTTGATTATGTCATTAAAAGTATGTGCCATTTTCAGTATAAATTATGACAATTTGAACAACAACAACAAAAAATTGTGTTCAAACCACAAAATTAACATTTAATTGTGAAACATACAAAAGTTATGCCCAGTAACAGATATAAACACTGGGCTTTTATTTAACTGCTGACCTTCAGTTAAAGACTATCTCATTGCATGATGCAGCACTAAACTTACACAGTGTAACAAAATTTCCCAACTGTTTCAAACACTCACCTTTGAATGTGTGATCGACAGCGTATCCACCCAAACACGCCAGCCACCCCACTCATATTTGATTGCATGGTAGAGCAATATTCGAAATATGGTATACACCATCTCCGTTATCTTCTGTTCCTCAGATGTCTTTGGATTAAAACAGCAAAGGGAAAGCATCCACTCCTGCCAGACAGAGCACTGCAACAAACTCCTGCAAAATACATACATGCTACTTATTCCAATTCCTAAATATAACTTAGAAATATATATCAGCTAAGTCAGGAATTCAACATGTTTCAAACAATTGCTATGTGCAGGCTTCTCCGATTTTACATATCAAAGACTATACTAGAGTACAGAATTTGCTGAACAGCAATGAAGCTCTATCTGCTTATTGAAGCTGATTTACTAGGAGATTTTGCTACTTGGTATATGTGTGCATATGGCAAGCTATCTTACCTCCTATTTTCTCTGCTGTTATTAAAAAGTTTAATCATATCTGAGAGAAAGGCTCGCCGAACCTCCAGTGTTTCTGGACATTGTGGAGAATTACGTAGCAGGATTGCAATAACCTTCAAAATCTCTGTAGAAGAGTTCACAAGCAACAAAATATTTGTACTAAGCACAGCATAAAATACAGGGCATCTTCCAATACTGTTGTAAAAGAAAATTGATGATACATAACAAAGTTTCGCATTGAAAAAAATGACATCACTAATGGGTTTAACTAATACAAAACCCTTCTTCCAAGACTTCTCAAACCTGGTCACCATCACAAGGATTTCCAGGCCTATACAACTGAAGAAAACAGAATCCAAGTGAAATTATTCTGAAATCTTTTTGAATTATCAGGTTTAAATGACAAATGTTAGTACTTGACAAAAGACAAACTATCAGAATCTGTCAGAACCTTTTCAAAGGAAGTTCATATAATAGAATGCATCCTTTATAGAATCAATATATGAGAAAAATGCATAGATTTTACTCTAAATTAAAATTTTCAAAGAATGTGAACAACTTCCAATTATACATAAGAATTTCCGTTATAAAAGAAGTTTGAGAAAGGAGACAAAACCTTCACAATATAAAGTTTTATCTCTTATGAGCAGAATGTTTGCTATCTTTTTAGGAGACAGGCAGAACTGTGCGCACATTCCACTTTTTGAAGCAGTGGGGCAGTCACTGTTCTTGTTACTTTCTAAAAAATGTTGACTTTGTAAATAAATTAGGGTGCAATTTGAACACGGTCACAGTAATAAATTTCAATGCACCCTGTACAAGTTCTTTTACGAAGAGAAATTCCTTATTTGATAATATTAGCACAGATCTTAAAAAGGTGATCTAGAAGTCACTCCTCCTACTAGACCTAGATAATTCCAGACTCACACCTCACACTACAAATAATCTGTATTAGCCACAGCAGTGACTGTCAACTTCAAAAACAATAAGAGAAAATAACAGGAATCTCCACACATATCTCTTGCTTCATACAGATTTACCAGAAGGCAAATCTGGTTGCAGTATGCCATTTCTTTCCTCTGCATCTGCTTTGCTTTCTTTTCTCTTCCCCCACTTTCTACATGAAGCAAACCCACAACTATGACCTACATTTAATGACAAAGCAGCTATGAAATGAAAAATCTATTATTTCTCCAGAAAAAAATGAACACCCAAAGCTATTATAAGTCTATTGTATTATAGACAGAGCACATTAATAACACATATAATTCAGGAAAGGAGATCAGTATTTTCTTTTAGTTCAAAAGACATCTAAAGTTTCATTTCAAGATATTTCCCATAAAGTAAGCTAACCAAAACAGTGAGCAGATATGTTTCTCCTACTTTCCATCTAGTGCTGTTGTACCAAATGTAATTTAAGATGAAGGCTGTTTCCATATTTCAGGTAATTTAGTCTGACATCACTAAATAATGCAATCAGAATTTTGCTGGAACCTTAACATGTATTAAATCAAAGTATTCTGCGCATGCAAGTCTTGAAAAACCATTTCTTAACATGACTGCAGAGCCAAAAAAGGTGAGTTATAAACTAAATACACATTTAGACACATAAAACATCTTTCAAAAAGCTACAGAGGCAGACATACTTCCTAAATAACTCCAACTAAATGCACATTATCTGCCCTGTTGTATGAAAGACATTGTAAAACTGAGCTCAGAATTAAGACCGGTGGATGTAATTAATAAGCTTCTTCATGTTTTCTTTTTGTTTTTTGTTTTGTTTTAAATCGGACTTTTTCATGGTAGCACTTAGAAACGTGTATCATTCTTACGAGGATTTTGTATCTTCACTGTCGAATCTGGGTCAGGATGTTGTTTATGTATCACTTGAGTGCAAATCTGTTCAGTCAGAATCTAGCAAGAAAGAAAAAGATGCCATATCAATGTTTGTAAAGACAGCTTGCAGAAAAATAGTTGGATACATCCTTCATACAGCACCATCATTATTTCACCATGCTTCTAAAAAATTGTCCCAGAAACCCACTTGTTCTCTTTCTTGATAATGTATTTCATTCATTTCCTAAAATTTCATTCTAAACTATTTTTTTCCTTTCTCTTAGGCCAACACTGTTATTTCAAATACACTGGAAGAGAAACCTGAAACTAACCTAAACAACCATCATAAGATCATTGCTATAAAATTCCACATATATATGAGTGTCTGCTTGAAACATTCAGGTTACTCATTATCTAGAATTATTCGTAATGAGCATAACCAAGTTAAGGGGGGGAAAAACTCCTCCTCAATAGTGACTTTGAAAAAAAGAAAAAACAAGGCAGCGCTTAGCTGCATCACGCTAAGGTTTAATGTCATCTGGAACATATCAGTGCAAATATGTAAGCAATTTTCTAACAATGTCTTACAAGTAATTAGGAAGATTGGATCGTAACTACAGTATATTACTACCTCAAATAGGACATTGTATGTGGTCATGGTGATTAAGCTTGTCTGAAGCATCAGCCTCTCAGCCAACAAAGAGAACAATCCATGTCCAAGCATGACTTCAGCTTTTCTCCTAAAACAGTACAGAAAGATAAAATAAACTTAAGTATTCGACTTGCTTTAGGGGGGAAAAAATGTTTCAAAAGCGTGCCTCAAGAAATATGAAATCACTGGAAACATATTTTTCTTTTTTTGTTCCTTAAGTCTTTCATTTTTGGTTAAGGAAAAGGGCAAGGTTCAACTTCTGAAAGGACAAGTCATTCCCTGAAGACAGACAGAAGACAGCTAACTTTCTTCCACAAACACGGTCCACTCACCCATGTGCCCAAAAAGCTGAAACACACCCTTAGGGATTTTTTGATAAACACTGAGGAAAAGGCACCTTTGTCCTCATTTCACTCAAAAATACAACCATGGACAGCGATCACAACAGCTATCTCCTACTGCAGCCAACTTGAGATGCATTAAATCTAGTGAAAAATTAAATCCATCAGCAACAGAGGGTTCAATCTCACCAGTCTTGCTACCGATTTCAGTGGTATTATGGGAAAAGACCACTTTAAAAAGCAGGCAGCCATACTGCAAGTAAGTATTTAATGAAGTTGGCAAGGGTGGGATAATGCCTGGACACTAGTTGCCAATAACAACCAATTCCAGCACATCAGAAGTGTATTACTGACAAATCGAAGGGTACTTGAAGAATACTAGCTCCTATTCGTTAAAGCCTATTTAGTGATTAACTTCCAACATAGCTTTTTTGTTCTACTTTACATACGAATGTGTGTACATACACAAAGCAAATAATGCATGCACAAATTAATATATGGCATGTATGTGTCACAACCTACTACTTTTCCTTCTTTTTTGTGGGGGTTTGTTTTAAGACCTAAACCAGTACTTACTTTGGAGCAAGATGCTTTAAGAAATATCCCATAACTTTCAGAGCTTGCACTCTGATGCCTTCGCTTTGTGATGCTAACAGCTTGTAGACAACCCTAGGTGGAGAAAACACAAGGCTTCCTAAATAGTTGAAATACACGTCGATTTTTTGAATGACCTGCTAACTGCAATAGACTGCAAAGAAATTTATATCCAAGCTTAATTTAAAAGAATGACTATTAGTAAGACTACCAAAATCAGCATTTCTGTTTTAACATTTCTGTTAACTACACAGTAGTTTGTGATTTCACATTTACATTTAGAGATTTTAAATATCTCCCAAATATCAATCCATAAAACATGCTGTGAAAGGCTGCTGCATTTCCTACACTGAGAACTGTCTTATTCTGATATTTTATCCAGAAAACTAAGCAAGCAATTGTTTTAGTAAAAATGTGGCTCGACAGGAATAGCCATGTATGGAGGGGGATTTATTAGTGCGCTAATATTTGACATCTGTGCAGGCTGTTGCTCCCTCAGGAGGGATAGAGGAAGACACCAAGTCAGGAGGCATTCTTCTCATTTCACCTACATTGGTTCTGCTCTTCACCTCCTTATGATTCTGCTCGACCCCTGCCTAGGATTCTCCACTAAGAATGTTAAAGAACAAATCCAAAGGGAGTGATGGTCATGTCTGTAGCAAAGTGCTAGACTTAAACAGCTGAACAGTTCTAGCTGAAGTTTTCCTGAGAAAGAAAATGAGTGTAACAAACACAGCAAGGAAAGTGTCAATGTAACTGATGAAGGCCTAGTAAATTAATAAACAATCAATAGTACAGTCTTACAGTGGGAAGTACCCAGTAACTTTAAATATATTTGACATCACCAATTCAATCTGTAATATTGCACAGATCTCATCACATGTATCTATGCCTTCCATTCCCTGAATAAAAAGAAATCAGACTAGTATTTAATCTTAACTTCTCAAACCTTTATCTGCAGGATATTAAGCCTTAAGCTTTTATTAAATGAAGTTTATTTACACAGTGAAAAATTCAAAAATTGACTTTCTGTCAGTGTGAAAGACAATTGCAAATTTTTGATCCTTGTCAATCTCCCAGAAAACATAAGACATGTAGATACATTTATCAGTTACACCTAATTTTATTCATTGCTTACTTTTTAGACAGTAAAGTCCTTATGACCATGTCACTATCTGACTTTAGTTGGTCTATGGATCATGGTATTGGACAGATCTTTGAATTTGTGAAATATTTAGTTTATACCTACACAAACTACTAAGCTCTCTCTGAAAAAAAGAAAAAAATAATTTCCTAATGCTCCATGAAATTATATTGGAACAGAAGGCACAATGCTCAGCCTTTATTGTGAATATTTTCTGAGAAATTTTTGAGGAAATTTGTATCAGTTTACTAGAATGATGGGGGGGGGGGGGGGGGGGGGAGGAGGGGGAAAGGGAAGGAATCTAATTTAAATGATTCTCAAGTCTTTCCAAAAACATTCCATGTTACAATACTGCATTTTAGATCAGTCAGTTGTAAAGAAGACAAAGGACTTAAGTTGTTAGGCCTCATTTATGCAGTACTGAGCACTCATCACTAGTTAGATATTCATTCATTTTTACGTACCTAAAAATATTACCCGGGACACCTAAACGAAGACCCAACAAATCTAGTTCTATACTAAAATCTAAGTGAACATCAGGAGTGATTAAAAACACTTATCTGTAACAAATAACTTATCCTGGAGAAAGCTGCAGTCACAGCAACTCCAGACTCAAAGAAACAAGTGAGCCCATGATACAATGCTCATTCAAGCAATATAATCCATTCCCCTGCTTGTCTTACAGAACAGTATGAGCGTTACCTAACTGCACAGGAAAAAAACATATTTCCTTACACTTCGTGTTTCTTTAGTACACTGGTTACTTCTAAATCTTGAATTATTAGAAATTCCAAATACTTATAAAGCTTTGTAAAATTATTTTTCATTTCAGGAATACGGTGTTTTAATTACAGTCAATGTACCAATAACCATGCCAACAACCCGTTAAGTGACTGGAGACAATACAGGAGCAGGGAATGTAACAAATGGGACAGGAAAACAAAGTGATTTCTCACTGTAGACTCACTATTCATACTGACTTGCCTATATACTAGTTTATAAAAAAGAAAGTATCTACTGCCAGTAGTTAAATAAAAACAAGCATATTGCATTGGAGACCCAACATGACATTCAAATACTTTATTATTTAGAGGTTTTATTAGTTTCCCATAGCATAATGCATTACCATACAAATGAAGTCAAAGCTGAAGAAAATGGGCTTAAAAAAAAAAAAAATCAGCCTGCAACTTAAAGGGTAGAAAACAATTATGAACATGCCTGAATGTTGTCTCTTGAGAAAGGGCAACTGAAAAAAACATATGCAGAAATAGGGGTTAACCAAAAGGTGCAACAAAATGTATGAAATGAGACTCTGCCTTTACACAGCGAGAGAATTACTACCCCACATACCCTTCTAGGAATAGTTTTAAATTTGTTTGCCTGTTCCAATTTTTCCCCCACTGTGTCCAGGCAGGTTCATTTTAAATTAGAAAAGTTCAATAATGTGACCACACTCTGAGAGCCACAACACAAAATCAAAGTCATAACTTAGTCTCTTTCTAGCAGAACTTCTCTTGTGCTTTTACTGTTAGTAAAATTTGCTACTTTCCCCACTTTTCTGTCACAACACCGTTAAACAATATTTTTCTGTTGGAAAAGACACTGTGAACAATCCATATGACAAAGTGTAAATTTAAACAAATAAAAGGTTTCTTCTGCAGAAGTCCCATAATGCCTTACATGTTAAAAAAGAAGGAAAGAAAGCTAACAAAGATCAGAAGAAATCTGAACCAATTTTTGTCAGCCCACATTCAGTTCTAAATCATACGTTAGAAGGGGGGGCTGAAGACTAAGCACTCATAGATGAAGACTTAACATCGACGTAGACTAACTCAAGTTGATCACTACCTGTTTTAAGTATGACTGACAGCTTGGAATCATAAAAAAAAAAAAGGCCTCATTAATAATAAATCTAACATCACCTTTTGTCAAAGGAACACCTGGACAGAAAAATCTCCCAAGAAAAGGAGTTTAAGATCACAACACATACATTGGCGAGGACCCTTTCAGATTTTGGGGGAATTCTAGCAAGCAACAGTATGGTCAAAATACTATCTCCTTTTGCCCACTTAACAAAATTCCAACTTACTGTAATCCATTCCTCTGATCAAAAGCAGGGATCATAGAACCAGGATGCTCTGACATCAGAGCAACAAGCAACTGCAAGACATCCATTAGATTGTCATCCTGTTGAATAAACGTTACAAATCTGAATTAAAAATGCATGTATGCTTGAACACTGTTTTGGTTAAAAGAACCACTACAAAACATCTCAAAATTATCTGGAGAGTAACAGTAGACCAAGGACCAAAACAATTAGGCCAGGATCAAAAGAGCTACAGATCTGAAAGGCAAGTGCAGGAGAAAATATTACCAAAACCATCACTTTTTTAGAGTGAAAAGTGATACATCTGTGTCTGGGATTTAAACGTTTGACAGGGAATGGACTATTGGACTATGTTATTTCCTTTCACACACATGCTCATCTGTTTGTATGTACATCTGCACCCCCCTTTACTGCACAGGAGCTAGAAATAAACTGCTGCACATTTTCGGGGGCACAGGGTGGTGTTTAATGCAAAATCTCTACTAATAAATGTCCACCCCAGAAAAAAAAAAAATACCACCACGTGCCACAGACAACATTTAAAATGGGTAATTCAAGCCGCTCAGTGATGTTTTCCATACTCTTAGTCTAAAGCACTCTAAACTACAGTTTATTAATTTGTTCCAAGTTAATTATAACTAAAAGTAATCTACAAACTAGCAAAAATGCAACTGTCTTTTCCCATTCTTTGTGGGTTTAAAATGAAATCTTATGCAAAAAAGCCCACAACACTTTCCAACGCTTTTGAACGAATATCTTGATTATTAGAAAACCAGTTTTGCACGCCTGGAACAACTGCGTTCACTTGATGATATTATTAGATTACATTGCAGACGCTACCACTGATGAATGAGCCCTATGAGAAGGCTGAATTTTACCTTTTTTTTGTTGGAGTTTTTCTGAATTTACAACCAGATGCCTAATTTTCTGTGACTCAGCATTCATGGATCTTTTAGACTGGACCATGCAAATTGCTAAGATATTAAAATATCCTTATCTGAAGGCTGTATAAAGCTTCTGCTATTTTGGTTTACTCTGACATGTTACCAAGAATCTTCTAATTTTTTTTATATGTCCATATAAAGTAGAATGACTTAAATTTCTTGACCATGATACTACCAAGTAGTAGTAACCAGCACAGAGAAAAAAAGGAAAATATAGGTGTAAACAAAAAAGGAAAAAAAATCCATACTGCTTGAAGTGAAGTTCAATTAATTCCTTATTTTACCCATTTCAAGCACCCTTACAGAGATGAGATCAGTTAGATTTATGTCCCCATTTCCCTTGTCTTTGATGTTGCATCTGGCATAAAGTGCCTTTTCCTGGTGCTAAAATATGAAGATGCAGATGTATCAGTGGTAACCAACATTTTCTCCCAATTAAGTTTATATGCTTCTCTTAGATGCCATTAACATAGATCTTTATTTTTAATGCATGTTTTCTATTTTATTGCTTTATTTAAGAACCAAAATAAAAAGGAGAGGGGAAAAAAAACATAACAAAAATATTACTTAGGCAGCATAAAACAAGATTTTGTCTTTTTTTTTTTTTAAAGTCAGCCTCACCATCTGTTTTTGCCTTGGTAAATCGGTTTGCAGAACAACATAAGAAACCATTTTGACTTGCTGGCTTAATGAACTTCAATCTGACATTGAACATAGTGCTTAAATCACTGCAAGAATATTGGCAATTCAGCGCACTACGCTAGAGAGTTGGACAGTATTTTCTGCTTCCTCTCCAGAGCCATCTTGTGGCACAAAGGTGGTAATATTTGAAAATATTCACATACTTGGTCACAAACAGCAGACAAAACAAAACGTCACACACATCCCCAAATCAAAAATTACCTCATGTATAGTGAGCAGATAATTGAGGATAGCCTGCAATTCGTCTTCTTTTATTCCATAGTCCTTTAAAAACAACCAGATTTTAGCTATCATCTTTCAAGCACAAAACTACTGTTCTCAAAAGAGCACTATTACAAAAGCCATGGTTATATATACAGAGCAAGTCCCACAAGACAAATCTGTTTTCACCTGGTATTATGATAGCTTCATAGATGGAAAGTAGCTTTTTCCCTGCCCAAAAAATACCCACTGCAGGCTATAAAAGTGCATTAAGACAACTCCAGCACAGGCATAAATTAAGCTAGATAGTAATATAGTACGTTAAATTGTTAGAGTAACACATGTTAATTGATACAGCAAATGAGAGCTTTCTATTAATAGAAGAATTAGATTAAGGTGGCAAAGATGATTCAAAAGCAGACCTGGATGTTTAATTATAAGCCTGTTAGCTATGCCTCTAGCTCAGCTTGCTTCTTATTTTCCACTACAGAACCCTATCTTCAATAGGTATCAACTTTGCAGGAATTTAAATCATTTATTTCATCTATGTCAGGAATGTGCCTTAAAGTCTTTTTGGTGAAAATAAAATATAACACAACCGTTTCTAAGAACAGGATGAGTGAAGGGAAAAAACAGGCTGCTTCATTTCTAGGGCTTTTATTTTTTAAATAAAGTCTCTGGTTTCCCAAAATTGGTTTGCACCATTGTATACAAATAGAAAATTTGCAGAAAAATCAATCTTTTATGATGGACATGCTTTTTACTGTCCTGGTGAAACTCTATCCAAAACTGTCCAAGTAAAATCTCTGACAGAAAATAATTAAAAAAAAAAAAAAAAAACCCGCTTTAAATTAAGCCAACACTTAATGAGTCTTTTCAAGTTTGATAGCTAAATTCTCCCTGATGTTTCAACTGCAGAACATCCAATTTAAAAAGTACACGAGTGAAGAACAGAATTTTTCTGGTAGCTACTCCTCCATATTGCTGGAGCTAAGGGTAGCATCACAGAGTACATACTGGTCCCTTAGCAACACAGAGGAAGAGGGGAAAAGAAAGCTAGATTCAAGCACAGAAAAGACAGCCTACAGAAGCGAGAGAAGAGAGAGATCAGAGCTTACAATAGGAAAGGGTTGAGAAGAGTCTACAAGCAGCAGAGCTACTGCATTTCGATATTGCTCTGTCTAAAAAAGTTGTGAAACTTACTGATATTCTTTCTTATCCTTCTCTGTCCCACAGCATATAATGTCAAAATGTTCCTCTTTGATCTTTAAACACTTGTGATAATTTATCACTTCAAGCAAGTGATATTGTTCTTCTCAGAAACAAAATATGGAATCAAATACTAATTTCCCTAGTAGCAAACATTTCTAGGTTAGTGATTTTACAGCTCCATTTTCGATAAAATAGCTTAAAAGGGAGAAAAATGCACCTTTAGCACTGCTGCCTGTGGCAAGAGCCACAAGAAAAAGATGCACCTTACATGCTATTTCTATCTACTTATTTGTTTACAAAATTCAACCTGCTTAGAAAAAAATGCTACATTATAGTGTGTTTCTTTACAAAACTCAGATATCCTATCATGATTTAAAGTTATCCTACCTTCATCACTAGCTGTTTAATGAACATCAACAAGAATGCTCGTAGAGATAAAATCTCTTTCTGAGTAGGTCGTGGCCCGTCTACAAAACAAGAAAAATAGATACATGAAACGCAAATTAAGAGTTATTAGCATAGTATGCATTTTCAAATAGAGAAAAATAAAAGGCATTTTTTGGGTGAAGAGGACCAATTTCTAAGTAAAGTTATCTTTCCTCCACTTCACACTACAAAATAGTAATGCGTTTTCTCACTGTTTATTAGCAAAATGCTCAACCAGTGAGTTCTATTAAGGCTTTCATTAAATACATTTTTTCTAAACTCCTCTAGATTCTTTTCATGATTTTACCACTTCTTTGCAGTGTCTATGAACCAACCTCAGGCAAGGGGTAAGACTGATCTGGAAATTCTGACATGAAGTTTACGTATTTCAAATTTTTGCAGTTTACTTCGGTTTTTAAAGTTCTTCAGCTAAATCTCAAAGGAAGAACTACATGCCTGGCTATATACGCAACAAAAATCAATCTTACAATGCTATATATGAAGATTACCTTGAAAGCCAAAGACAGCTTGTTAACTCAAAGTCAAAAGTACTTGCTTTTGCCATTCCTGTGTAAATCAGAATTTCACTGCAACATTTTAAATACTCAAACACTGAGTAGTTCCCAGGAGAGGCAAGGTTTTAAAAAAAAAAAAAAACCACAAACAGGTGCAACCAACTGTCAATGCCAAGTAAAAGCTTTCATACTCAAAGAAAATGAACTGTTGCAAATACATTTCTAGGGATAGTTTTTACATTTGCTCACAGGTTCATAGTCCTTATGATCTTAATCATCAGGGAACAGCATCTCAACTAGCGAATGCAAGTGATCGTACGAGTCTGGTTTTATACAGTACAGGCCCACGGGCATATTTGGCTTAAGAATACTTCTTTTTAATATAGACCCGTCTAGTCAGAATAAGCCATCAAACTGTATTAGTAGGACTACCCTACACATACACTTGCCTCAGATTCAATAAATCGGTTCAGAAACAAATTAAAGAGAGTCATTAAACTTCACTAAAAAGAGAGGAGAAAGCACACATCCTTTGCTCCTTACAGGATGCAGAATACTACAAAACAATCTTTGCAACCCTCTAACAGGAAGGGTTGGTCCTACCAAGAAGTTGGTGGCAGGAAGTTGGACACATGTACGGAGCACTCACTCCCAGTACATCTAGCTCCCTTTCACCACCTGTTTGTCCCTCTGAAATTCCAGAGCCTTTCTTCGTTACAGGAGAGGAGAAAAGTTATTCTCCATTTTCCGCAGCAGTGTGCCCAACCCCATAAAACACAGAACAACTATCAGAAGAGTTGTAAAGCTATACTTCCAAAAAGCATTAAAATTCCCATATCTATGCCAGTTCTATCCACACCTATTAATTGTGCTGGTGCACATTTCACTTCTCCACGTTCCTTTTACAGCACTGGATTTCTGAGTCAAGCGGCTGTTCCTGTTGCTTTTTTCTTAGGATCAGTATTCTTGTGCTGTGCTCCACGTCAATGACAAGAACTAAACACCTGTTCTAAATCTTGTATTACTTCTTTCACCATGAGTTCGCTATCTGGATTAAGCAGGCTTATGAAGCGGTTTTCCAAGAAGTTCAGACCCCTACGCCTGCCACTCTCAGTATGCCTGTTTTCAGCTATACTGCAATTATCAATAGATCTTACAAGCACTTAAAGCCAATCCAGTACTTGAACAAGCTCCACAAGACCATATTCCTAGGCACAGCTCCATACTTTCAAAACCCTACTACTTCTCTGACCAGTTCTATCTCGTATTAATTCACGTAGGTCTTTGGTGACAGAGGATATGACTTCTGAAGAAAGTTTCCATTAGGTTTTGAAAACAAGCTTTCAAGAATATCCTATGGTCAAAAGCACACTGCTCAAACTGTTACAATGAACCCATCACATTAAAATAAACTACTTTCTGGAACATTTACAGTTCTATTCTACACACTGCACACAACATTTTTTTAAAACAAACATCAGCTTGTCAGAGTAGAGGTGAATACATACCTATGCCCTTGGGAGTTATACCACTGCGATCCTGAGGATTCACTACCCAGTAATAGTACTTTAGGGTATGCATGACCAAAAGAACCGTTCCAACCCGCCGGATTGCACCATATATGTTAACAGTGCCAATGAACTCAGTAGATAGGTAAGTGTACAGGATCAGCTGAACCTACAACACCCAAAGAGGCGATCAAAAATCATTACAGCAAAATTGCAGCACATCATACATTCTTAAATTTCATCTATTAAAATACTTGAAAGGAATAGATTTTCTCTGTTTGGCTCAGTCACAAAGCTCTTAAAATCCCTGCAAACTGATGAAAACTTTCATTTTATTTCCAAAACTATAGTGTGGTGGGTTTTTTAAGCTGGTCCACACCCATAGGAGCATGAAAGCATGGCATTCACACAATCGCAGACAGCTGAGATTGGAAGGCACCTCTCTAGATCACCTTGTCTAATTTCTCTGTTCAGGACAGGGTCATGCATTAAGTATTATAGAAAGGTGCATATTTATTATAGGCTTAAGCAATCTTTATAGGCTTAATTATTTACATATCTTCTTTCCCTTTTTCTTCTAAGAAATAATGACTTAATATTTAATAATTTCATTTAGCTGTAGCAAACATAAAAGTTTTATGACTTCAACAGCAGCACTGTTAGTGCTGTTTCTGGTTTTGAAATGCAAAACAAACATTTATGGAAGGGATCAAAACATTTGGTAAGAAGGTTTCAAGCAAAAGCAACTGGAAAATTTCCATCCAAACTGTATGCTCTCAGAGAACACAGACTTACCAAAAAAAAAAAAAAAACCCAAAAACCCCCAAAAAAACCCCAACACTCTGCAGGGAATATGCCAATTTATATGAACACTTGAAATTTGACACCCAGGATAAATTTCTCTTCAAAATTGCTGGGGTTTTGCCAATTAACCCATCCAAATTCCTTCTCTACCTACAACACTCACTGGGTCAGGGACTCCAGAAGTCACTCCCAACTCTGCTCTGCAGAATGCTGCAGGTTTCCAACCTCCTTAAAAACTGTGGGAGTCTGCACAACCTGACAGCTACATATACAAAGGCAGAGTCTGAAAACAGTTAGTGTATGATTTCTGCTGGGGAGCCAGGACCTACAATTCCTGGAGTCTAGGCTTAGTCTCAACATTCCCAAATCAGTACATCATACCTTATAATAACGCCTTATAATATAATATAATATATACACCTTATAATATAAGGTATATAAGTATACCTTACTTTTGTCACTGCTTGTGGCAGGGGGGTTGGAACTAGATGATCATTAAGGCCCCTTCTGACTCAAAACATACTGTGATTCTACGATAATAAGAAGCAAATTTTACCTGTGCTGGGATATGAATCCATATTGCCGGATTAAGGAGAACATGATCACACAGCTGCTTCAGCAAGGGCACCCCATTGTGTAAGTTGCTCAGGTATTTCGAAAAGGCAAGGCAAAGTTCTAGTACAGCTCGGGTAACATGGGCTTTGGAAGACTGTAAAAGACGATCTGCTTAAGCAAGAGCTCTGCAACAGTGTAGCAAAAGTATTTATCTCAAAAAAATTCAAATTAATGTTAGACATCAAGAGAGATTTGCTTTACCTTTTCTAGGCTATATCCTATCACAAGGAAGCCCTTACAAGAAAGCATCTGTTCTTGCATAGCAATGGAGTTCTTCAACAACTCCATGATGAAAGCCAATAAAGTAGAACTGAAAAATATAATGGTTTAGTAAAGAAAAATGGTTTAAAGGGTAACAGTGAGACAGAAAGCATTTCCAAATTAACATTTCCATCACATGGCCCAGGGATACATTTAATGTGCTACATAAATGCAGAGATCAGATTTTTTAAAAGAAAAAAGCATGATTCAATTTTAAAGGCTCTATCTTCTTGTTTTTAATTAATGCATTTCTAACTTTAAATTCTGGATTCTAAGATAACCGTGCAATAGCAAAATTCTTCTGAAAACACATTCTTGCAGGAAGGCAACAGCTAAGTGTTTATTTCTCTCTGCTTTGCATTTCACTTACAAGCTTCGGCAAGACAAGTAACAAATGCCACTCCACTTCCTACTGCTTTCAGATGAGCAGCTATTAGAAATATTTTTGTAGACACAGCTTTACTCCTGGTTCAAGCCCCTCCCCTTGTGTGACAGCACTAATGCCTATGGATTGAGACCTTAGCCAGCTGAAAACCCCTCTGTTGCTGGGCCAGTTTGCAGCTGGATCCATCAAATCCCTGACTCTTTACATAGATGCCCACATCTGAGCCAGCTCAAGAGGGGCTCAGAAACGTACAAATGGGCTGAAGGAACACTGCGACCACCACTTCTTAGCAACAATATGGATGTAGATCATCTTTAAACAGTCACGAAACCACAATTGCAATCAAACAGAGCAAACTGCACCAGGATTCTAAAATGCAATTCCTTTGCTATTAATACTACTGTAACTTAGGTAGTCCACCAGTTTCTGTGCCTGGAATTTCAGAAGTTGGACTGAGTTAAAACAGAACTGAAACCAGAGGAAAAGCCTGGCAGCAACACTGAGTAAGAGTATGTTCCAAAACAAACGAAGAAAGAAAAAAAGCAATAATTCCATGCAGGTGAAAAATTCATCCTTCCTGGAGTTTCTCTTCAAGCCTTCCCCAGTGGATTTTCTCCATGACAGGAATAAGCTCAAGAGAATTCGGTCTGTGATTCGGTTACACAAAAATCTGAGAAGTAGGAACACGTACATTTTGGTTCTGTGTGAACTTTCACAGAAAATCTGGCGCAGATAAACACTTCACTTTGAGCTCCTGCCTGTAACAAGGCCATCTTTTTGTTGTTAGACATAATTCACTGTTACACACAACAATTTAAACCTCTATGCCACTTAATAAAGCAAGAGGTAATTTCCTTTACTTAAAAAGAAACAAAGAACAGAACACAGTAAGAACGTGCACTCACCAAACAGTTGTGTCGACATGGTCTGATGAATATTGCCTGTAATCTAACTGTGCAAAGAGAGGGAAAAGTACCTGCACCCCTCCGATGGAGTGCAGGGCACTTTGGATAGAATGCGTCAAGACGGCTTTCACATCCTGACAAAAAAGAATTAAGAAATACTGAAACCTCCTTTAGAAACTGTTAAAAAGTTTGTTACAAATAGTTTGACATTTCTTCAATACAGAACTCTTACTATCGTAAATAAAAAAAACAGCAAAAAGTACAAACTGGCTGCCCCAGCCCCGCTAAAATGCCCAGCCTGGCTGACCTACTGCTTCAGATACAGTCTACAGTGTAGATCTCAGCTGAGTACACAGCAGGGGGCTTGCAAAGTCTTTAGTAATAGAGAAACTCTAGAACAGAGCACATGAAAAGCTTCTGACAAATTAAAAGATTAAGGCTTTCAAAAGATAGGGAAGGGTATCGTATCAACAAGGCAAAGGATGGGAGATAGGTAATATCTGTAGGAGAGTGAACCTATGGCAGAAATTAGGAAGGATTTCTTTGGAAAACTAACACAGTCTTTGTAATAGTGACTTTTTTTAGGTTGTAACTTAGATAAAATTAGCTTTTTTCCTCAGGGTTCTTGCGCATCCACATTAGTTCAAGAAACAGGGGAGGTAGCAGTAGTGACAACCCAAAAAGCCCAACCTATCAGCAGTTCCCTATCTTGTCCAAATCCCTATATAACTTGATTTTTAGGTTTTCAAACAGAAATCGTTTGTATCCTCCAAGTCTATGAAAATGTTGAAATACCTGCAGCATGAGGGCATGTGGTGAATGAACAAAAATAGAAGGGTTATCCTTAGGGGATGACTCTAGACACAGCTGTGCATCAGTAGCCCTTGGATTGTACATAAATGCAATAGCACTGGAGAGTTTGCCATCATATAACAACAATTTGTGATGTTCAGCAAGGAAGAGATCACTTTCTGCCTTGAATTTGAATGTTCCCTGGATTAGGGAGCAGGGTTGAGGAAGGAAAAAAAAGAAAAAAATTACATTACACACACTGACAATACAGTTCAGAACACAGCTATCGCCAACAAATGACTAAAACACTGCTTCTGCAATCTAGCAGTATTTCATAAAGGAAGCCCATAAGAACATTTTGATAAAATTGACAAAGTCAATTTTACAGAGTGAGAACTGCAGAATTTCTTTTTTGTCCCCCAAAGAGTGACATTGCCAAAATGGTGGGTAATGCAAAAGAAACACATTAGCTAGGAAGCAGAATGACAGTCAGCAATGTTCACTCAGAAGGAACTAATAATTGAGAGGCAGATAGAACAGGAACCATCTTTTTTAGCGTATGTTTGTACAGCTGCTAGGGAATAACAGTCTTCAATTAGTGCCCCTCAGGCTATGACAAAACAAATAATAAATCACTGCAACAAAACTAATCTTCAGCACTAACTTCACACATTAAAAAACCTGACTAGTACAATCAACTATAACGCTACATTCCTACAACAAATGCATCGCGCTTGATCTGAAGTTTTCAGCCTCAGTGAAAAAGTGAGCCTAGCCAGCAATAAGAGTCATCCTATCCCTCCCCCAACCACCACCATGGAAATTTTAAAAAGTAAGTAGGAACATAATTTGTTTTTTGTAAGAAAGGAAATAACTGAATTAATGCACACTGGTAGTTCTTGAGATGGCACCTAGGCTTATAGAAAAAACATGGAAGAGTTAAGTAAAAACACTGCCCAATAAGAACATTTTTAGAATGACACAGAGGTGTCACAACATTCTTAAAACCCACCACAAAGGGCCTTATCAGAATTAAGCTTTGGAACCTTCTCAGTCAGTTCCAAGATACCTTATATCCCAGACCAAGCTGATAAATGGCAAAGATCTGAGCAGCATTGAGAGCCTCACTAAACAGGTAAACGGACGTCATTTGCCCACAGAACACTCGATTGGCATCTGCTGTTTCTGAAGAACCCAGGAAACACTTGTCAAATGTCTGAAAAAGAAACAGAACCCAGTAACAGAGTTTAACCTACACTATATAAGGAAATTGTGCAAAGAACATACATATTATCAGGGAATATTATTTTTACACTAACAAATATTTGAGGGTCTCCGCAGAAACAAATTTACAGTTGAGATATATATAAAAGCAACACCTACTCCTCTACCAAAACGTTATTAAATTTTATTTCAATATTTTTAAATGCATAAAATGGGGGAGGTTTATTAACAAAACTGCAAAGGATATCTATTTAATCCACCAAGATTATCAACTACAGATATTAGTATACAGGGATTACTTACATCACTGGTGTTGACGAGCCATGTTATTTCTCCGTAAGATGCCAGTTCCCCATTCACGTAACATCGAAGTTCACTATTCTTCCAGCGGTTATAGATGTGGACTATAGTAACCATGTACCACTAAATGATAAGACAACAATTGATACCGTTCTATAAACACTTAAAGTAGCTTAAGCATTAAAGTGGGGCTTAGTAGAACAAATTAAACTATGTATTTGAATATAATAAAGATTAAAAGTTTTATTTTAAGTCAAAAAGATAAAGTCATTGGTGAGTTTTCTTGCATAGCTATGTCAAAGGATAGCATGTCATTTTTTCCACAAAGAAAAGTAGACACAGAAGCTTAAAAGATATTTATGGTGTAGAACTCAAAAAACCTTCGTGGCAGTGTTGAACCAAATCTACACTGAAATCACTGTGTAAATAAGTTTTAAGTTGGGTTACTCTTAGCATGACAGACTACTGCAAATGTCATTCCAAAGAGGAAGGATGGCTCCAAACTAAAGACTTTCAAAGGCTGTGCATGTCAAATTATCACAAACAGAATCCATATTTACAGCAAGGGATTGCTGATAAGAAATTCCTGAGGAGGCCTGTTCTCTCACAGAATGTTTACACCAGTTGTTCCAGAAACATCAGCAGAAGTCTAATTGAAAAAGGAAACATCTTCAACATAGCGCAATACAACCTCTGAGGCAAGCAAGCCTTGGGCATCAAAAATAAATATCAACTCACATTTTAAAAGATACATAGAATAAAGCACCATATGCAAGGAGACTATTTTCTGGACAGTCTGAATGGACATAAAGCGTAACACTCTTCCAAGAATCAATCTGCTCTACTCCCACATGTAAGAAGACCAAACTCCTATTAATGGTCCTAGCTTGATTAGAACAACGAGATGTGGGTTAGTAACCATGCTTTCTTAAAATAACAACACTGTATTTGTCCATGTTGAGTAAGTAGTGACATAAAGGGGAGCCTTAGCAAAACACTTCAGGAAAAGGAGAAGAGAACGTCTGGAGGTAGGAGAAAACCCAGTATAAACAGAAGGAAAAAACCACAAGCCTGGTAACTTTCAAGCTGTGTATGTGTACAAAGAGTTCTCAGACAACTCACACGTGTCTCACAAATTTACACAATTTCTGGTAAATTGCATTTTCTAGCTCTTTCTTATACAAGTAAAAATAAAACCTTTAAGAATTCAGAACACAAAGGTTTTTGGCTTATTCCGGTGTAACTGTTCTAATTCAGAAAGACGAGCCCAACCCATAGCGACACCACTCCCCCCAGGCTACATTTTTAAATCCATGAAACCTGTTTGAAATATTTTATTATTTTTACTCACCTTCTGTGGCTTGAAATCAAATTTTACACAATGCTGGAAACCTTTTCCCTTTGATTTTATAGACGTTACAATCAAGCAGCCTCCAACAAAGTGAGCAGAATAACCAAGTCCTTTGTTTGTTCGAAAACTATCAAATTAGAACAAAATCAGCACATACACAAATGGAAGCAGAAATCATTGAACAATTAATAGAAATTGAAGATCATACAATTTTATCTACATAATACTCACCAATATAAGTAAGGCTTATCCTTGTCCACATTGATATTATTTACAGGATCCATTCTTAGCCAAGTGTGGAAAGTAAACCCATTCTGGTACGGCCACTTGGCTATAGGAGGTAAGGCAATAGCCTACAGAGAACAAAAAGTTACTCATGTAGAAAGATCAACATCACAACAGGAAAAGTAAACAGCTTAAGGTATACACTATAAATGTATACTGATTGACAGATACACACCACATGTGCGTACACTACGAATGTGTACCATTTCTCTGTACTAAAAAAAGTCTGGCCTAACTTCTGTGCCTTTTGTAGTCCATTGTTAAATTAATTAATCTAAACATTTAAAAACTGGTCCTTATATCTCAAAGAAGATTATTAATAGTAACCTACACTTCAAAAATTAAATGCTTCAGTGGAAGTCTTACAGCATAAAAACTCCTCAAAATGCAAATTCAAGTTGGTTTAGTTTTGTGGCAGCCTGAGAGAATAGTCAGACTTATAAACTTATTTTCACATAGTGTTGGTGTTCAGGAAAATAATTGATTATGAAAAGAAGCTGGCCACAAAAAGAAAATCATATATATTTCACAGATTGTTTTCTCTCTTGAAATTCATGTCTATGCAGCCCTCCAGTTAGAATACAAGAGACTTACAAACTTCCTTAAAAGAAAGGTAATACAATCCCCACCAGCCAAAATCTTCCCATCAAACACTGTGTTTATGTTAGCTCAAAAGCTCTTATATATGAACTGTGTTGGCAGGACCTTCTGTTTCAACTGGTTCAGTTTTATCATGTGGGGTTTTTCTGTTTATTTGCGGTTTTTTTTTACCATTACTATTAAGTTGCCACTGTTTTGCTGCACAGATTTGCAATACACACTTTACCTAAGACTGCCATATCCTCTGATCAAAGATGCTGTCCAGATGATCAATACCAATGAGCAAAAAAACATCAAAGAACTTGAGTGTCGCCAGACGCCTTCCTTATTATGCTCCCATGCTCCATTCAGCTATCGTCATCCAAACAAAATGCTATAAATCCTTCCCCATACCAGCTAACTAATCAGTCTGCATGTCTGAGCCCAACTTTTGGGAACTGGTAGGACTATCATTTGGTTTAACTCAGGATGGATCTTGGAGTAATTATATTAAATACTTAATTTCTAAGACATCTTAATTTAAAAATACATGAGAATATTCACGTGAAGGTTACTGAGGCACTCCATTATCACCTACAGTTCAAGCATTCAACACAATTATTAGAAATTAAATACAAAAACAGTACATGAGAAGCCAAAAAGTACAAAAATAGGTCTGTCTACTGCCAAGTTCTGTTGCATGTGATAAATACATCTGCAGGAACATTTTTCTAATACTCTGCATTTTTCAGTCTCAAGTTTTCATTTAAAAAAAAAATTCATTATGTCATCAAGTTCATGAAATCTAATCTCAACCCCCTGAAGGAGAAAGGTAATGGGTTTATGTGAAGAAAACAGGAGTCATCTGATAAATCTTATTCAAATCTTGTTCTGAATTAAGCATGAAATTTTTAACATACTATTTCATCCTACAATTTTAGTAGCAAAAGTGTTGACATACTTAAATTCCTACAGAACATTCTACACAGCACTATGCAGCTACCTATTTAGTTTCAAATTCTTTTTCAAGTGAATACCACAGAACTTAAAAATAAACCCATCACCTGAAAAATTACAAAAAGACTTTTCAGTGTCAAATAGACATCCTATGATTCTATGAAAGTTAATACTCTTTCAGTCTTGTTCAAGCCATACATGTCTAGGAAACAAGTTTTCTCAGAGAATTCTTATAAGTAATATATGTTATTCAAATCATTTGATCATTAAAAGAACTAACAAACAGAAGAGGAGAAGAGAGAGGAGAAGAGAAGAGGAGGCTCCGAGGAGACCTCATTGCAGCTTTCCAGTATCTGAAGGGGGCCTACAAGGGTACTGGGAGAGGACTTTTTACAAGAGCCTGTAGTGATAGGACAAGGGGTAATGGGTATAAATTGAAATCAGGGAGGTTTAGATTAGATGTCAGGAAGAAATTCTTCACAGAGAGGGTAGTGAGGCACTGGAACAGGTTGCCCAGAGGTGTTGTGGATGCCCCATCCCTGGATGTCTTCAAGGCCAGACTGGATGTGGCTTTGAGCAACCTGGTCTAGTGCAAGGTGTCCCTGCCCATGGCAGGGGGGTTGGAACTAGATGATCTTTAAGGTCCCTTCCAACCCTAACCATTCTATGATTCTATGATTCTATGAAACAGTGTAAGCATGGCCACTTCCTAGAAGTAAGTCTGTACTGGGTTTGCATGGCAAGATTTTGGTAGCAGGAGGGCTACAAGGGTGGCTTCTGTGAGAAGATGCCAGAAGCTTCCCCCACATAACATAGGGCCAATGCCAGACAGCTCCAAGATGGACCCAACACTGGTCAAGGCCGAGCCAGCCAGTGATGGAGGCAGCCTCTCTGGGATAACAAATTTAAGAAGTGGAAAAAAAACTGCTGCGTAACAGCAGACGGAAGAGAGGAGTGAGAATGTGCAAGAGAAACAACTCTGCAGACACCAAGGTCAGTGAAGTAGGAGCTCCATATGCTAGCGCAGAGCATGGTGAAGCCCACAGTGAGGCAAGGCTGTGCCTCTGAAGTCCATGGACATCCACAGTTGAGCAGAGATCCACCTGCCACCTGTGAAGGACCCCACATCAGAGCAGGTAGATACCCACAGGAGGCCGTGACCCCATGGGAAGCCCACAGCGGAGCAGGCTCCTGCCAGGACCGGTGGGCCCACAGAGAGGGGAACCCAGGCTGGAGCAGGTTTGCTGGCAGGACTTGTTGACCCCACAGGGGACACACGCTGGAGCAGGCTGCTCCTGCAGGACTGCACCCCATGGAAGGGACCCATGCTGGAGCAGTTTGTGAAGAACTGCAGGCCATAGAAAGGACTCATGTTGGAGAAATTCATGGAGGACACTCTCCCGTGGGAGCGACCCCACATTGGAGCAGGGGCAGAGTGTGAGGAGGAAGCAGCACCAAAAAGTACATGTGATGAACTGACTGCAAGCCCCATTCCTCATCCCCCTGTGCCAGCTGGGGGAAGGAGGCAGAGAAATTAGGAGTGAAGTTGAGTCCGTGAAGAAGCGAGAGGTGGGGGGAGGAAGAGTTTTATAATTTGGCTTTAGTTCTCGTTATTCTGCTCTGATTTGATTGGTAATAAATTACATTACTTTCCCCAAGTTGAGTCTATTTTGCCCATGATGGTAATTGCTGAGTGATGTTTCCCTGTCCTTATTTCAACCCATGAAGCTTTTGTTATATCATCTCTCCCCTGCCCAGCTGAGGAGGGCAGTGACAGAGCAGCTTTGGTGGGCACCTGGCCTGCAGTCAGGGTCAACCCACCACAAAGCCACTCTCACACATACTGGAACACTAACACAAGCACCATTCCCACAGAAACTTGGGAGTGAAAAGCAGGCAGATTCTCCTTGAAATAAGATTTATACTGAACCAGTCTGAAAAAAAAAAAATTAATCCTCATTTAAACCCTTTTTTAGGTAATAGTATTTGTTCTTCTACAGTGATCATGCACATTTATTATAAGTGTGATTTATTTAGGCATAATGAAGGTGTCAAGCAGAGAAAAAAATTTGGGTGAAATCCTACATCTATGACAACGACAGATGAAACAAAAGAACACCACAAATTAACCAATGGCCAAAATAGAACAACAAACCAACAAGAGACTTAAAATATCTACATACTGCAGCACTTTTCCCTGGAAAGTTGAAGAAGGCATCAGGTCCATACTTCTGAGGCATGTGTTTTAACACAGACAATAACTTCCCGGCATGTGGAGGCTGACAAAGAGAATTATTACACTTGTACATAAATAAAACACAGCTGTAAGAAGTAAAAGACTATACACCCCAAAAATGAATTTTGACACTTTTTAAAGCTTCGCACAGAGTAATACTCTGATAAGACATTTAGCACTTTCAAATAAACAACAATAGCAAAAAGTCATGGATACCTTCATACAATACACAGTAGTTGCACTGAAATACAATTAATTGGATAACTAAATTAAGGACTTAAAGGCCCAAGCCACTTTAATCCAGCAGAAATTAAAATAACCTGAATGTTATCTGTTCATGCCTGTCAGTGCTACTGCTTATGTGGATATGCAGCAAGCTAAAGAAAATTATCTGATCCAGCTTAAAAATAATTTAGGAAAAGCAAATGCAAACCAATTTTCAGTTACAGCAGTTTTGGACTGCGGCTGCATGAAAGCTGTGCCAGCACAAGGGAGATGGGGAATACCTAGCAAAAGGGAGAGGGAGGATCAGCAGACATCACCATTTCCCTCAGGGCTACATTCATATACTGAAGTGTCCTTGGTTACGTATCTCCATTTAAGTCCATAGGGAAATCTCAGGGGAAGGTTGGAGCACCTCAACTGAGCAGTCAGTCAGTATCAATACTTAACACTTCCAATCACCACCCTAATTCTACACTGATTTTGTTGCAATACTCAGCAACTATAAACTCCAAATCAAGTATATGAGCTCACAACAACAGAAGTTGTTCTGGCAGAATAATTTTATGCATCTTCTTTTTCTACTTCATAACTTTCCAGTAGAACTATTTTTAAACTATGATGTTATACTTCTGATCTTCTCCTGAAATTGCTGAGTTTTCCCTCTTGTAACCAGCCACCTTCTGAAAACTAAGCATTGCATGATCCATTACAAGTATTCCAAATGTACCAAAATTATAGTCAGATAAACGGTGCTTCACAAATCTGAATTAAAATTGAGGAGGAAACACTGAGAACTGCTTAGATGTCTTCAGCACTATAGAATTCAACTAGGTAATTTGTGTTGCAGCCAAATACTTTGTATCTTTACAGCACTGCTGATTTTAAGATTTATGGAGTTGTACAACTCCTTAGCAATGCAACTGTGGCATTTTTCTCTTCCTCTCCTTTATATTTAGTCTTTAATAAAGAAAGGAAATTAAATGCAAATAGCAGGAAGACAGGAAATGAAAAAGTTAAAGTTACAGTGACAACTTTAATTCATCTACCGTTAAATATACTCTGTATGTTCAATTATTAGGTTTAAACCCTTTATTAAGTTTAAAATATTTTTACTTGCACAAGCAAAGATCTCTGAAGTTGTTTATTTCAAAGGATCTTTTAACATTTGTTGTATTATTTGTGAATACTGGCTTTTATATTGAATACATTTTTTTAAATCATTTGAAGACAACAGAGACACTGTCCTAACTTTTCTCTACATTAGGCAAAGTATCTAGAGACAACAGGAACCAAGTTAAAATTCAAAGCAGGTAAAGCGAGTGTTAAAATAGTTCTCAATTCCAGCAAAACAACAAAGTTTTGTTAAAGAAGGTTTTATCTGTTGGCCTCTACAACATACATGTTTTTACTCTGGGGAAGGAGGTTCTATAACAGTAAAAGGACACCCTCTTCTCCCTTTCCAGTTCACACAGGAATAGGAGAAAACACATGATTCAGTTTTTCAGCTGGAGCTTATTTCCTTCATTTCAATTTCTGCCACAGGTTCTCACTTCTCTAACTAGACCAATTTTTTCAGTCTTCAGGTGAAGAGGAGCAATGTGCAGATATAAGCACACTGAACTGCCTATGTAGACATTTTTTACTTCTTTTTCTATTTAATTCTTTCTTCTTCAGTTTCACGTAACTGGAGTTACAAAAATAAAAACATGCATAAAAACACTTAGAAACACCATATTATATTCTCAGGTGTTCAAAAAGACTAATCCAGTCTACAGATCTAGGAGGATATTTAACTCCTTCACTATTCCACTCTCCGTATTTTAATTGCTTGCCAGTAAAAAGGTTCATTGATATAATACCAGAAAGCATCCTGTATTTCTTGGTACATTTAAAATATGTGGATTATAAAGGTTATCAAGCAGCCTTTTAACTTGTGAACATTAGGAAAAATGTAAGTAACAATATAAAAATTTAGTTTTGTGTTTTCTTTTACCCATCTCCCTTTTTCTCCTTGAAGCTTGCTGAAGAATAGCTTTAGCTCTCGAACTGTCAAGTTATAGCTAGCCAACACACTCAGCATATCCACTAAGAGATCTGAAAAGAAAAAGAACAGCGATACAATTGCTTAATAAAATGCAATGTCAAATTTCTATCACTTCATCAATAAATGTTTCCATGAGATTTTACATAACAAGAATACAGTTTGAGTCATGCACTGGGTGAAACTGTACCTGCAATCATGTTGTCAGCTCTATCAATTCTCTTGAGCACTTGTTCAACAAGCCCCACTTCCGTGCATGCTTGTAGGTTGCGTATACTCTTCTTCAAGATTGCCGTAAACATGCTCCACACCTCAGCCTGGCAGGTGATATCACACTTGTCCAGCAGGTCTACCATGCAGGTGATGCTCTCTCCTTCTTGGATGATAAAGTTCATTTCCAAGTCAAAGTGGCCCCCAACAAGCTTTCAGACAAAAAATTAAAAAATCCTTAAGACAATCGGTTCAAAGTACCATTCCATGTTTAAAGTTATTCATTCTGCAAGAAGAAAGCTATCAAAGACGTAAGCTAAACACACTATAATAAGGCCAATATCCCTATATCAAGTCTTACTCATCCTCTGTTTCAAGTTCTATTGTGAAACTTCAAAGGTGATCCTAAGGTGTCACCTACTATCACATAATCGCTGTAGAACAACATTTGGGTAGCTAAAGATACAGATGGCCAAAGCTGCCCCACACAGCTGAAAAGTGAAGAGACCAAGTGAGTGTTCCAAACCACGTGAGAGCACCAAGTCAGCTAAGATACCTTAAATGGCCTGGAGCAGTCCCAAAAGCTTTCTTTTGCACCTGCTCAACACTCTTCAAATAAGAGAGCAATTCTAGCCCAAAGGAGCTTGCACATCAGAAATACTGACACTTAGAAACACTTAAGAGTCATTCCTGAGATACTGAATAGAGCTGGTTAACTGCCAGTTTCATCAGTAGCCACCGGTACTAAAAGGAAGCAAAAGCTTGCTATATCTGTATGAAAGTGAAACAGCAGCACTGTTTGAAGCCTTTGACTATACTGTGGCTCAACACTTAATCCTGCCGTACTTCAGGTCTCCTAGATGCCGTCTTTGTTTGAACATACACTGAGTAACTAACCCCATATGCACGTGCCAAGGAGATGGAAAGGGGAAAGAAATAACCTACTTAATTCTCATTTGTGTACTCAATAAATAGAAAATCCAGTTGAAGGAAAGACGGATTGTACTAACCGAACTCCTCTACTACAATTCTTCACTTTGAAACTTCTCTTGGCTTTTTGAACTTTAATAAACCTAATGCTTGCCATAATACCCATTACATACCAGCATACAAATAGGATTTCAGGTGGCACAGACTAAAATGATCAAAATGGACTCATGATCAAAAGTATTTCAGGTTGTTCTCACTTCTACAAGTTTGACTAATAAAAGACATGATTTCTATCCTACAGGGTGTTCCTTTCACAGGCTTTGACCATTAACAGGTTCAGTACTGTCACTTGCCAAAGTCATACCATGTCAAAACTGCCCCAAAATACATATACTAACTTGCTGCCATATTAGCTCCGACAGCTTCTCTCAGCTGCTCAGGATCTGAAGATAAACCTACCCAACCGAACAGAATATACACTCTTCATTAACTACTGAAATTACCATACATTTTCCTCAAGTGTCTAAATCTTGTCACTTTGAAGAAGCAATCTTTGGTCTTCTCGGCATAAATCAGTAGTGCCAAAAACCACAAGAAGCAGAGAAAGTTACTGCTTTTATGACAGAATAGACAATGTCTCATGGCAACAATTTCTAAACAGTAATTTACACTTCTCCATTTTCTCCCCTCTTGGTCGTGAAAAATAATTATGCAATTTACTATCAGATGCTTCCTTAATATCTAGGAAAACCACAGGAACTGAATGAGGAGACTTAAATTATATTCCCAGCTTCTCTATATCAACTCCTGCTGTCAACTCAAACAAATCTATCAAGTCATTACCATTCTCCATTCCAAGCCTCAGCCCTTCCATAAGATGAGGCAAAGGCCTACCTCAAGAAAGCTCTGTAAGTTAGAAATCAAGGGAGAATACTGAGCACAATGGATTAACATGGAATTGTCGCAAAACAAATGCAAAGGAAAAAGTACACCCCCTCCCAAAAAAAAACCAACCCAAACCTGAACAAAACATTTGAAACTGTAAAATACATAACCAACGTTACACTTAATTTTACATTACATTTATCATGCCCTACTAAACTGAGGTATTCTTCATGAAGCTACCCCCTCTTCCTCACCATCAAGGAAAGAAACAAAGAAAATACTGCATTCCGTGTACAGACAGAATAGCTGGTGGCTAAATTCCAGCCCCACAACGCCTGCTAATTCTTAACAAGAAATTCAACTCTTATGCACTTGGTTTTAACTATCAATTATCACACCAAAACCATACAGGGCAACTAGAGGTGACCTTACCTTCACCCTAGTCTACACCAATCTTTCATTTTTGGCTAGATACACTATTATCAGTAACCACCCATCCAGGAAGCTGTCAAATTAGGTTTCCAATCTAATCTGCAAACATAAGTGTTCCAGCAAGTACATTCTACAATATGCTATGGTAGAAATAACGACCGCTTTACCATTTCCTTTAAGGGAAGTGAAGACAAAACATTGAGAGAGAAAGCAATATAGCAAAGGCACAGTGCAGTTGATGTACTATATGTATGCATACCCATTAGATACACATAAGCACACACACACCTCACAGTATTTCATATTAACCCTTTCTAATGGTGATTTGAAACTGATCAACCTTCAAAACACAGATTTGTTTCCAATGACAGGGATCATAATCCAGGTCCATGCATTGGCTAGTTATTATCTGAGCTGCAGTAATGGCTGTGCACAGCAAAATGTAATCTTCCCAAATGTCACAGTAAGTTATGAATATCTGAGCAGCTTAATGCACCTTACTAGCCATGAAGTGTGAGAATGTAATCTTATTACCTTTTTTATGGTTGTATTTTTTTGAATAATGTAGCCTTTGAACTGATGTATAGTCTTTCCTTGCACTTTAGCATGATTTGGTCTCCTATGTCGCACAGTACATTTTTCAAGATTCTCCAATTCAACGTATTTTAAGTCCTATGCTGAGCTGCATAAACAATCTTTATAGCAACCTACAGGGTGGCATAACATTTTCTTTCTTCGGCATCTAAGTATAAGCTTACAGGAATGGTTTTAAAGTGCAGTATTCAAAGTATTCAAAGTATTCAAACACATCCTCACAAATTTTACATTTTGCCAGTTATATTTACCTTTGAAAAATATATAAACTTAACCAATAGCTCAAGCTTTTTGGTAAAATGTTTCCACATTTAACTGATTGAGAACAGGGAGAATACTTTATAGCAATTTTTAACTACACACCCAAGAGTGTGATTTTTTTTTTTTCCCTTAGAGAACCAGACTAACAAGAAGCCAACATAATAGCACTAATTTTAAGTACAGAATAGCACTACATCACTCCTAAATAGAAACAAAAAGCCAATTTAAACACACAAAACCTCTCTTTGCAATGAACCTTTCACCTAACATAAAAATGGGAGAAGTGATCCAAGATGTAAAAGATATGGTGCGGTCTATGGATGAGCAACTACCAAACTACAGCATGCAGAAAACAGCTCAGAATAAACACAGTCAAGCTCCACTTTCCTGAAAGATCATGATCTAGATTATTAATCTAATTTAAAGTAATTTCTCACAGTAGCAGATACAAAATATTTCAAACGCTTGTAAGAAAACGTGAGGAAAAGTATTTCAATTAACTATGATAGAAAAAAAAAAGAAAGCAAGTCCAAGGCTACAGTCAGCCTCCTGGAAAAGTCAAATTGGCTATTCTTGGGAGAACTACAGGGCTGGATCTCCACAGGTTTACCTCAAACCTCCAAAAAAAGACTTCATCCTTCTGATTACTAGATAAACTACACGTCACAACATACATACTTGTTTTGTTCCCTAAAGCCAGGATGAAAGAACCAAGCAAACTGAGACCTCCCTTTTCCTCAGGATGCTGATTTTTGTGATATCTGAATTGTCTCTTTAGTATGTCCAAAACAAGAAGTATGGACAATGCCTATCCAATGGAGAAAATGCCAGTCCCATGAAGAAGGGAAAAAAAAAAAAAAAGCAGCAGTCAAATAGGCCAGTTCTATCTTGGTGGAAATTTTTTAAAAATTATGCTTAATAAGAACGCAAAGCTGTGTGTAAAAAGCTGATAACTGCCCAAAATCTTCTATTCATAAGAGTATGGCACTTATACAAGATAAACATTAAAAAGAAGTGTGCTGAAGCTAAAACGCCATTTCAACAATTAAAGGTTTGATATACACCCTACATTTTACCTCCGTTCACAAAATAGCTGTATTATCCCAGATGGACCTGTTCTTACTGCAATTTTACATCATGTCAGTCTACTCAAGGTTAACAAACAAACAAAAAACTCCCATGTTTTCATCCCTCGATGATGAAATCTGAATGCCATTTCTAGAGAACACAAAAAAGATGAGTTCATTTTAGCCATTATGTTTCTGAGTAACAATAAGAGTAAATGTAGGCAAATAATATTATGTTCATCTTCCGCAAAACTAATAACCCACATCCTGGACTCCATTCCCTTTCATATATTCAGAAACCGAAAACAAATTTATTGATCATCAAAAATACATGATTTGAAAAGCATAAGAACTAAAATCTTTTTAGGGAAATGATCTCACAAGATCACGAGTGATCCCAAGCCAGTCAAATCCCCTGAGGCACACAATAAACAAAAGTCAACACCACGGTACACATCCTGGGTGAGATAAAAAGACAGTTCTGATTTGGAAAACCCTCTACAGACCAGAAGAGGAATAAGGTGGAGGAAAAGAGTAACTTACACATAGTAATTTGCAGCAATCCGTGCTCTGCCCCTCAACCCCTAATTTGTCCATGCAGTCTTTTCTATCATTACATAACACTTGGAGCTGAGAACATGATTAAAATACAAGTCCTAAGAGTAGATCTGGTAGGAAAGCCTGTCAATAGTTTGAAAAAGTATATTAAATAGTGACATTAGCATCAATGTCAAGTCAGTGAAATCATGATAAACAGGGCTCAGGCCCAGAGAGGTTACAGGGAGGCAAAAAAGTCCAGATGATGTCAACTTTTTTTCTTCAATATATTGCCACTTTATCAACCATAACGCAACCAGAAAAACTAGTCAAAGCATAACAAGCTGTGGGAAGACCCACTCATGAAAGGCAAAGTCATAACCTTCCAGCAAGACGCAGAAGATTTAAAGCCATTTGCTACCTTAGCGGCAGCCCAAAGTTTAAAGTAACATGAGACCATGAACATGCAATCACCAGTGACTCTTTCACACAAGGAAAGGTTCTAC